AGAGAGGCTCCAGAAGCCCAAATACAACAGAAATGGTCAAAGGAAAAAGTTTTCATAGATTTTTGTGAGGAGTATAATTCCACAAAATAAAAACATACATATAGAGCAAGTTTATGAATAACAAGCTCACTTTGTCCACACAGTCGTCAAAGAAGGCCAGGCTGGCATCTTTGTCGCTGACAAAAGAACACTCCTCGATAAACCGGATGAACATCTGGGTCTTGGTCATCAGTGAGTAGAACTTCTGGTGTGAGCGGTCACGACTCTTCAAGAACCCTGAGGACATAAATCCTTGCATTTAGCCTTTAAAATAATAATAATTTTACATTGCTGAGACATTTTTTTCTTGACTAATATGAGCAATGATCCAATTCCTTGGCATTTTTGTGCACTCAAAGCAGTTTCTGACATAAAAAGTAAACCTATTTACCACAACCTTAAGTTCTGATAACATTAACATTAATAAATAAAAATGTAAAAAAGCATTATTCAATACTCAACATTGTTCGATACTCAATGGTATTGAAGTAATTTGATCAATGCCATAAAAGTATCACAGTTTGATACCCAGCACTATTCACATGTATTATAATTCATCACTTGTTGCTATAGTCACTGGATTTGTTTGCCAAGAAAGATCCACAATACTCCCCCCTCGTGATGACTCCCAGTTTGATATATTGTGGACATTACACTATTACACTTACCTGCACACTCACCTGAGTTGCCCATTTTATCTACACTACTGTACTTACTGGTATACTACCATTTTTGCTGCCTTGACTAGGACATATTTGCTGTGTTGTGTCTAAAGCCCTGTTCCTACAGAACAAACTGATTGTGTCCTTGGTTCCACATTTGAATCGTGACATGTTAGCCGTCACACAAAAGGCACCACGCCTACAATTCCCAATTTGTCTTGGTTTGGATAATGCAACCCAACACAATGTTATTAGTATAATGGTCATTCTGGGATATACAAGAACATGGTGAATAGCTTCCTTAATAGATGCTGAAAGCAGCTTAACTGACTAACAAGCCACTTGCTGTTGTGAAGCAGAGCAGGATGAATGGCCACTGGCTCACAGCACACAGACCAAAGCCAAACACTAGTCCTGCTGAGAAACACTTCTGTAGCCGAAGGATATTTTAATCCTGACAGTGGCCGCCTGCGTCCAGAGCCATCAACTGATTCTGACAAAACTCTTCTCAGTGGCTTCACTATATAGCTTTTTATGTCTTTTTTTATGGTATGTGAAGCCTTCTGACCCAGTCTAAAAGGTTTCTGCATGCATGTGTCTTTGGGGTTTGATTTTATTAGGAAAAAGAAATCCATCTGAAATCTGCATGTAATACTGTTGTACTGTTGAAAGAGCTGATGTTGGCCTGAAGTATATAACAGATGGGTAGAAGTGAAGACTAAAAAATTAACACATGCTTGAATTTTTTGTTGTAATTGATATAAGATCCAAAAACAGTCAGGAGTTCATGCACATGATGTAGCCATTCTTGTTTAATGTATCATACTGGACACGACCTTGACTATAACTGTTCTCCACTGGTGCAATGATTTCACCCTAACTTATTTCAGCTGTGATATGACCTCTTTTTTTCAGCCATCCTCAAGCCTCAAAACATGACCTGTAAATGTACAACTGTGACTCAAATAGGCTTTTTGGATTCTGATGTTAGTCTTCTATTGGTCTTCTTTTTAAATTGCCTGGTGATCAGTGGGTTACTCAAACCTGGATACTTAATCTCAATCACTGGCCCATAATACTTAGAATACCACTGGATTTCTCCATTTAACTTAAGCTTTCAAATCACTTTCTTCAAATGGTTTAAATAAAATTAGCTCAATCTAAAAAGTAACTCAATTAAGAGTTTTTTAAAGCCAATTTAAAAAAATCTACATTACTCTCATCAGGATCTCTCAAAGAAATATTGTGATTATAAGTTGGTTTACCATTTTGACTCTGGAAATAGTATTCTGACAAACTAATCTTACTCAAGGTTAACATGATCAGAGTGAAACTATTCTACATTACCTTGTAAATCAAAAAGTGAGCTAGCGTCTGTGGCTTTCTCAGAAGGTGCCTGGGTGATAGGTCGTAAGAATGAACGGTAGCCCTTCAAAATGGCTGCCATGAAGCGGAGGAAGGCTTCCTGGATCTCCATCTCCAGCATGTGGAGGCTCTTTCCACAGCTCAGCTCTGACGAATCACTCATGCTCAGCTCCAGAAGCCCATCAGGCCTGTACTGACCTGAAGACAGAGAAAAAGTTAATTTAGCTGTCACTGTGTATCAGAGATCTCTGGGTTCATGTCAACATAAAGGCTGAATCGAATCACTACTTCAGGTTGATACACTGAGGTTGCTAATGAGAATACTGCATCGCTTGCATTTTAATAACCAAAATTTATGTATTACTCATACTTGTGCATTGCTTTTATTTAAGTAAATATTTGTATAGCAAATAAAGCTTAAGACTACATAATAATAAATAAACTTGAGTCAAAGGCTGAGGCTTAAATGTTACAACTCAAACATCTGGTAGACCAATATTCAGCACTTCTGGAAGCAACTGGGTTTTGACTTCACTGAATCAAAAAACTCATTTATTTAATTTCTGCAGCTCAATAAGCAGCAGAGTTCATGGTCTTTCAGTGAGTGCGCTCCACAAATACCAGAGAAAGTTCACAATAACACAGTGAACATCACAGTAGGGCAGACAGGTAATTATTGGTGGTTTTCAGTTTGTTGAATGGAGAACATATTGTACAATCAACAGAATCTAAAATTAAAGGTGATGAATGAGGCAGAAACATTACGCGAGGACCTTAATTTGATTGTTTTAATTTTGATTATACTTAAGGTCAGAAATATAGTCCAAGTATAAAGACACACGTGTAAAGAAAGAACAGAAAGGAGATTGGATTATGACTTGCAATTCAGCCTCACCAGTCTTTTTTTCAAGCAAATACAAAAATGAAAAGGTTTGCTGAGGGTGTATTTTATCTTTCACTTGGGACCTGACATTTAATACAACAAAATCAGATAACTGACACTTTTTTACTGTAATCTGTTCAAACAGCTCATACATCAGCTCAGTACTCACTGTCAATCAACTGCTGGTAGAGACTGTTCAGCACATTCATTAGGTTTTTACAAGCTTTCTTTGGCAGGATCTTCCATGTGAGGGCTCGCTTATCTTCATGGCTGGAAAAACAGAAACATACACTGAGCTCTGGAAAGGCTACGAGTCCAAAAGCAACATGTACAGCAGTCAGGCTGAGGCGGCACAGACTACCCTAAAGCCGTCTGAATGTTAATAAGGCCAAATTTGATGTGAACCATTACTGGCCTTTGCCTAGTGCACCAGAAAACTGCATTTTCTTCATCTTAAAACAAGACTGACACTACAAAAGTGACCATTTCAACTCAAGCTCCTTGTCTCTAAACTTAGAACTCATGGCCTAGTGGTAATGAGATCTGGGAAAAAATATGCAGCAAAGGTAACTGCTAGCTTTTAGCTGAAAGTGCTATATGTCATATGTGTGGCTCGCTGCCCTGTAGTTGATCCTTTGCAAAATACTGTACATACAATATTCTTCATGAGAAGTAAACACAGAGGTGAAGGTAGCTTAAGGTCTGCAAAAAGGTACATATTAAGGATTATCAACATCTTGCCTCAACAACTACAGCTATGGGAGGATTTTGTGTGTGTGCTCACTGGAAGATGGTGTTTGTGTCCAGGTCCACACAGCTCACATCTGGTGGGGGATCATATAGATCAAAGTAGCGAGAGTCCACTCCTACAATGAATGGACAGGGGGCGCTCAACACATCAGCCAATGCCAGGGGGCACAGAGGGATATACGGGCATGACCAGTGGAACGGGAAAATCATCTGAGGGGAAGATAAGGATGAGAAAGAGAATGTGAGATGAAAAAGAAGGCAGGGGTCATTCTATAGCCCTTTGGTGACTTTGGAACTGAGTTTAACAGGTATACTGTATGCAGCTGGACTACTACTTGTTTCAAAGGGCAAAAGTCATTAGAGAGTGTCATTTGGACAGATAAACAATACATATATATATATATATACACGGTATGTACGGAACAACAAATCTCAAACCACATCCTGATGACATTAATGAAACTGGAAAAGACATTCTGATACAACCCTCAAGCCCTCAATCCAAAACAATGTATGAATTTCATAAACCTTCTTGCTCTTAAATCCCCAAAAATCCCAGGCATTCCAGAAATTCCACTACTGATGGCATTACACATTGTTAGAAATTAACAACATAACTATTAGATGTAAAAGAAAGGAAAGATATTTACAAAAGCAAAGACAATGACAGTAGCATGAAGAGTGTGAAGCCAACATGGTGGAGGTGGGATACACTCCTAGTTTGGGGGGATATGATATAACCCTGTACACCCCATAGAGCTGGATACAGTAACCTACAGACACCAGAGCTTCAGTGACACTGGTCAGTACGGCTGGACGTAATGAGTGGACCAGGATCTTATGTTCAGTGACAGCAACCACCAGCAGGGTGACAGCATTCTCTGGTCCGAGGTTCTGGAGCAGTGTGGAAAATCGACCACCACTATGAAAAACAAACATGTACAGTACAAAGGTCAGCAATGCTTAATTTGTTTTACACTGCAAAAATCATTGTATGATATCCTATGAAAGGATCTTTTAAACATTTCTGGCCCTTGAAAGCATTCTGAAGTCCAAAATACTCTTCAGATTAACAATGTTATTACTTGCAAATGTGATCCTGGCATTCCCTGTATACTACTGTGTATGAGGGCAGATAGTATTTAAGCCCTATTTATGTTTTCTAATTGGAAATGTATCTTTTTCCATATATTATACTTCAATAATCAGAAATTCTCCAGAGTAGAAAGAAATACATTAGCTAACCTGGGCGGCAGTCCTTAGGCCTATTAGTAACAAAATGCACAATTATTTTACACTGTAACACACAATTAATACAATCAGATATTTCCAGAGAAATCCAAGTAAAGCTGCTCTTACCTGAGAGGTAAAGGAGAAGATACTGGCTGGCTCAACATCAGGCTGTCATGAGGGGAAAGCTGTAGAAAGGCATGAAAAGTGAGAAATCAAAATATACAAAAAACAGCTGCACTGCATCATTTAAATATTCACCCATAACTGAGGACCCAAACTACTCCATCTCTAAGGCAATCCAAAACACCTGCAGAAACCAACACTACTGTCTGCGCAGTGATGATTAACCTATCCTCGCATGCACCATATTCACCAAAAATCACAGGAAACTTTTGGAACCAAAACTTACCTGGACCAGGATACGAGGCCTCTGAGAGGAAGGGAAGGGAACTTCATGCATAAAATGAGAAATGTGCCTATAAAGGAGAACATTTAGGGGGATGTGAGGCCAGAAATAACAGCAGTGGGCAGCCCAATAATTTGTCAATGCACCTCTCTCACAACGATACAAGTTATGATCAGCAGTGAAACATGAAAAACATAAATTTTCTGTCACAAATGAGCTGACCTGGGTAATGTCAAATACATATCCAACCTTAGACACTTAACTCCGGTACACTTACTGATGATGTACCGTACTTTATAGACCTATATGAACATCTCAATCAGCTACATTCTTCTAGTTTTTTATCAAACAGTAAATTCCTGTACAAGAATGTTACACTTTTGATGAATAAAACCACTATATTTGTCTTAAATAAATCCATAAACATTGTCAGGTAATGCAGCATTTTAATATACCAGAATAATGAATGTAATGCCTGCATTACCAAAAAAGAGTGCTTAAGAGTAACATCTAGCAAGAACATAAAATGGCAAAATAAACCTACAAAACAGGGAGGACTCACTTCTCGATGGGCAGGGCATGAGGTCCAGAGATGGAGTAGCGATAGAGGAATGTGAGGAACTTGCGGAAAGCATCAAAGAAGGGCCAGTGGGAGAGCAGACAGATACACTTGTTGGTGTAGATGGCAGCAGCTGTACTGTTGGAGGAGGGGGGTTTGTGTGGATCTTGGCTTGAGAGACTCAGCTGGGAGCGCTGCTGATCGGTGAGACACTCCTGCGGGTAGGGCTCATAAAACTGAATGGCAGCACCGTAGACCTGAAACAGGAGATGTGTCAGGTCAACATCTTCAGTTGTATTGTGTCTGCATAAGCACAGAGATGTCAGATGTCAGTCCAGTCTAAGTATGCACATACATTACAGTGTCTGCACAAACTACACCTTTCTAAAAACAGTCTAAGAAAACACTACATTTCTTTGTAACACACTTATATTGTACATTTACATGTGACAATGCTGCAGTTACACACTTTAGACATACTGGATTTTCTGTCAAAGCTCAGACTGGCAAAACAATTCTGTTGACCTGCTGTAGAAATGTGAAAATCAGAGGTCACCACACACCAACCGTCAATGAATACACCTCTCATTTTTCTATATCTCTGTGTTAATTATCCTTAGGTCTGCTATTAACAATTGCCAGGGCTCCCTTGAGAAAGAGGTTTTAAACCTCAATGGGACCAGGTAAAATAATGGTAAAAAAAAAAACTTTCTTTATCAATTAATCTGCCATTTCTTTATTTATTAACTAATTGTTTACCAACAATTCAACACCCCAAGATATATACAATGAAATAAGGAAATAAAAGTAGGAACAATTCATATTTGAGCAGCTGTAACCAACAAATTTTTGGTATTTTTCCTTGAAAACTTGACTGATCAGCCAACTGGTTTAGCTGGAATTAGCTAATTTTAGCCAACAATGATGGTGGCTATATTCACACACAGAGATGTGTTTCTATACCTATGATGAGCTTATTGACACAGTGCATTTCCTAGCACATGACGCCAACATTAACCATCACAACTAACACCAAACCTTAGCCTAACAGAAATTCTAATCTTAACGTTAAAGCCAAGTCACAAACAGCCTTTTGAGGAAGTGAGAACAAGTTACAATGTTCTCACTTTCCAAAATTTTCTCTTTCTCAAGGTCTAAAACTCTAATTGGTTCCCAAGAAACAGAGGTACAGAAGCACACAACAGAGACCCACACAACGCACACAGTAATTTGAACTTCTATAATGATGAAAAAGAGCAGACAGTTTAAGAACTTCTACACAGCCCCTTGAATCATCCTTGCACTTATAAATGAAGGTAAACATCAATAAGCACAAAGTGAGTAGTGCTCTTGTTTAACCTTTATTGAACATCAATACCACGAGTGCCCCATGTGGCCAAACAAACAGCAGTTAGCTGAGCCCCGGTATCAGCATTAGTCCAAAAAATTCCCTCTGCTTCCTGGAAATTGGAGCCTTTCCCAATCCCTGCAGAGATCAAAGCTAACTGGCTTATCCGCTGGCTGGCTGGCTGGGCCAACTGTGTGGGTTTTAAACTTTTTCCCCAAAAAGCCGCTGAAAAAAAACTGTACCGTCTTTTTGATGATGACTGGACTAGAAACACCTGTGCTTTGTTCATGTACATGTATGTTGTGTTCAGGGAAGAGCCTTATTTGTTGAACACCGCTGTGTTTCTAAGCTATAAACTTATATTAAAGACAATCAAACCTGCTTATTTAAAAGGTGTAAATAACATTTTTTGTGTTGTCTGGATTTGTGGTCTTTACAGATAAAAACATTTAACCCGTTACCACTTACTCAAGGAACTCATTCTGTTTAACTTTGGTATGCAATATTTCTGTCATTAACTACCTTGTACATGGCACAAAGAAAAAGAAAAAAAAAAACAGAAGAAAGCCAAAACATGACAAGACCCATTAGGGTTGCAGCAGTATACTGGTTTCATGGTATACCATGGTATTTAAATTGACAGTTATCATATCATGCGCCTTTACTTATTACCGGTATTGAAGAAAAAAAAAAAACACGTGTGCACACCTTTCTTCCCCCGAATGCTTGACAAATGGCAGAGAGGAGGAGGCCGAAACTCCGAAGTCCATCCACCAAAAAGAAATTTAAATCAGCAATGCAGAATTACTTTGGATATCTCAAAATGAACACCATCTCTCCGTATAGGTCAAAGTATGTGTCCCATTTACAACTTTAATCCTAAACAACAGAACACGTGAACATATAAATGTCAGTCATAAAATGTGCTATCAAAATACTGTAATTTTCCACACTCTGTTTGTTTGCTAATCTCTGATTTATAAATTGACTCACACTGATCCCAATCTGACCCCAGAAACACACACACAAACTTTCCTGGCTCTCAAAAGTGGGTGTGTGTGTGTGTGAAGGTTTGGACAGGACCAGTCTGGCTGCACTGTCACGCAGCTAGAGTAAATTAGCAACTATTGTGATAATCGTTAGCATTGTGACGGCATTTCTCACTATTGGCAGAAGTTTTACAAACCAGAAAATTAATGGAGAAAATAATCAAGCTGCTGTTACATCAATGCATGAGTGATATAGGCTCTTAATGTAATGATAGTATATACATATATATAGACTCAGGGAAAAAAATATTTGAACCCCAGCAGATTTTGTAAGTTTGCCCACTAATAAATAAATGATCAGTCTACAATTTCAATGGTAGGTTTATGTGAACAGTGAGAGACACAACAATAACAAAAAAAAATCCAGAAAAATGCATTACAAAAAAAGTTATAAAGTAATTTGCATTTTCATGAATGAAATAAGTATTTGATCCCCTATCAGTCAGCAAGATCTCTGGCTCCCAGGTGTATTTTATACAGGTAACGAGCTGACATTGGGAGCCCTCTCAGCTCGTTACCTGTATAAAAGAGACCTGTCCACAGAAGCAATCAATCAATCCAGATTCCAAACTCTTCACCATGGCCAAGACCAAAGAGCTTTCCAAGGATGTCAGGGACAAGATTGTGGACCAACACAAGGCTGGAATGGGCTACAAGACCATCGCCAAGCAGCTGGGTGAGAAGGTGACAACAGTTGGTGCGATTATTCGCAAATGGAAGAAACATAAATTAACTGCCAATCTCCCTCAGTCTGGAGCTCCATGCAAGATCTCACCTCGTGGAGTTTCAATGATAATGAGAACGGTGAGGAAATCAGCCCAGAACTACTCGGGAGGAACTTGTCAATGATCTCAAGGCAGCTGGGACCAGAGTCACCAAAAAAACAGTTGGTAACACACTACGCCGTGAAGGACTGAAATCCTGCTGTGCCCGCAAGGTCCCCCTGCTCAAGAAAGCACATCTACAGGCCCGTTTGAAGTTTGCCACTGAACATCTGACTGATTCAGAGGAAGACTGGGTGAAAGTGTTGTGGTCAGATGAGACCAAAAT